CTTGTTTTGTAGATTTTAATTTTTTATGTGCATTAATGTATTTGATTATTCGCCATGTCCTTTTACACACATCACACTTGCATTTATGAGGTGATAACTTTCGTGTGAGCTAGTGAAAACTCTCACTCAAATTAAACCATTTCTGTTTGAGCTTGTAATAGTGGGCAAAGATTGGGGTGCCTTACTCATCTATAATGGACTATGATGTAAGAAACAATTTGGGAGGCTTTATATTGTTAAGCTTTTGAACCTAGCATGTACATGAAACTTAAGGATCCAAAGCTAAGCTAGAGTCCTGCCTTCCTTTTAATTAGAAAAAACCTAAATAGGACACATAATGGGACAAACATTATTCTTGTAAATTTATGTTATTCCTTGTATATATTTTTGCATACTAACCTTTTATATTTGTTATTATTGTTAACTAACATTTTTTTCTCTACTTTATTATGCATACATGCATCATTAGATTTACATAAAGAGTGATTACCACAAAATAATCTTAACAAAAAAGATCTTAATTACATTCATGGAAAGCCTATCAAAGTTCCATATATGCCTAAGAATGAAGTCCAAGGAAGCTTAGCTTAAAGGAGGTGACTGTTTGCTAATCAATTATGTAACTACTTTGCTTGCCAAATTCTATCTCAGTCTCAAATGAAATGATCTTAGCGATTTGGTTAGTACTAGGAACTAATAGAGTGTCACTACTAAGGAAACTTTCCAAAAGAAGTTTAAGGACCTTGCATTACTTCTTTCAGTCCCTATTGATGATCAACTAATTAGGCCTTGGTTTAGTTTTAGGACCTTTATATCACTGCTTCGTATTCAATAAGGCTGACATGGTGCCAATGATTAAAGAATATTCAATTTCATTCACTTAGATCTCTTTAATCTTGATAAGGTATATTGGAAAAATAAAAACACTGGTTACCAAAAAATGCTTACTCAAATGATGGCTATAGAGGTCTAAACTGTTGATAATTAGGTAAAAAAAAAGGTGAAAGTGTTTGACTTCCTTAGTCCATTGTTTGTGACTTTATATACAAATATTTGGCACTGAAAGAGGAATGGATTTAATGCATTGGCTTTATATGGGATGATGGTATTTTTAAAAGTTGCAGTGGTGTATTTCTTTGATAAACTTGGTTACCAAATTAACCATATTCTTGTAATTTTGGCTAAAACTATTAGATCTTTAAATCATTGTCACAGAAATAGAAATGGCCATTTTATTGGGTGTGCTCAATTGTTAACCATTTGGATGAAAAATTGTATCGAAAATAATGGTGGTAAATTTCACAAGCCCTATTTCATTACGAGCATTCCCATTAAGAAATTCTGTGAGAATGAATGACTTACATAAAAATCCAAGGAAACATGGAATTTATTTCTATGCAAGCTCATTAATCAAGATGTAAAATGGAGAACTCTTTGGATGCCTTATGGAATAGTATTATATGGTTATGAAAATAAGCTTTAGGTTCCTCTCTTAAGCTTTTGAGGTGTAGTGAGTTACTCTCCCATCATGGTGCAAAGGCAATATGGCTATGAATAGTTTATCCTAGCCACTTTAAGATTTAGTAAAATGGAGTTCTCATGTGTTGAAATTGATGCCTCCATAAAGATAGCCAAAGCCCTGCAAGTTTAGAAATTGCCTCAAAGGGAAGATAGGATGAGATGCTCAAATGAAGTTACCTCCGAGTACTTTGTATGGCACAGTAGGCGAGGTAAAGACATTAAAATACCTAAAGAAACAACTTCAAATAGCCCAATGAAATCACCACATCTTGATCCTCTATTGGTAGTGAAAACTACTAAAAAAAAGCTTTAAATTGAAAAAAATGAATTGGAGCTTGAAAACAAAAGGCTAAAAAAGGAGTTAGAGGGAGGAATGGACAAAAGGATTCAAACATTTAGACAAAAAAAGGGATGAATGGAAGAATATTTTTTTTTTTATCTTAACATCACATAGTTATCCACTAATCATAAGTAAGCCCAACTTTTGAAAGAAAATAGACAATTGCAAGCAAAGAAGCAAGAAAAAGACAAAGCACTCACCAAAGTACAAAAGCACATCCAAATGCTTAATAGGGTAGTGGTCGACATTGGAACACAAATGGGTGTTGTGAATGAAGAACATGAACAAGCTAATAAAGCATATGTGAGAAAGCATAACCAACTAGAATGCCTATTTTTAGTGCATTAAAATCACAAATTACAAAAATACCCTTAAAAGTGGTTTCGATAATTTTGCTCTTCTCGAATTGCAATCAAGGCTTTAAGTGCATTAAAACCACCAATTTCAATTCTTAGCCTTGTTAATCCCATATGGTTATGAATTTTAAAAGATTGACTCAAGTTTTATCCGATTTGATTGATTTTAACTGATTTTGATCAAATTTGACTTTATTTGACTATGTTTGACCCTAGGATATTTAAGTCAAGTTGGTCTTAAATTTGATTTTAAAAACTTGTTAAAATTAAAGAAACTTTGGATTTGAATTAGGTCAAAATTTAAGAGTCTTACAACTGGCTGGAATCTACTTGGACAAAATTAGGTTTCTATAGCAAGTATTAGGAGATTATGCATTTTCTTGCAAAAATTTTACACCCTCACTATAAGAGTTTTGGGTTTTCAATATGTCACCACTAACACTTTTCTTAAAGATATTTATGGTGTTTATGATATTTTTTAAGATTGACAATTGAATACTGATGTTGGGTTGGGTGTAATGGCTAAGAGAATATAATATAAGTATAACAAGTATTGGGGCACTGTGGAGAAAATGAATATGTTGCTTTATATTGCTTATATTCTTGATCATAGAAAAAACTTGCATTTGTGGAGTTATTGTTTATGAAAATGTATTATCATGAATAAACTACAATCATGGTTAAAAAAGTGCAAGAAACAGTAGGTGAGTTGTTTCATGAATACAAAGTCATGTTGTAACTTGAACAAGTTGGTGAAAGTAGCTAGACGATTCAAGTTACAAAATTCACCAATGAACTTGGGATTGGGAACTTATGTGACTCACGATCTATTATGGCTAAGTTTATGAGGTTTAGGAAAGAACATAGTAGAGAGGAGAATAAAATAAAGTTGGAAATATTTGAATGAAAAGTCTAATGCTATTAAGGATATGATGGACTTTGATGTTCTTCTTTGGTTGAAAATCAATAGTCATTGGTTTCCTATCTTTTCACATCTTTCTCATGATGTGTTGGTGTTTCTTATATCCACAGTTGTTTCTGAATCCGTTTTTAGCATTGGTGGTCGTGTGCTTAATGCATATAAGAGTTCTTTAACTCTTAAACTTGTGCAAGCACTGATTTGTGCTCAAAATTGGTTACGTGAATCTCCAAATTTCGATCCAAATGCCTTTGAAGATGAAATGGAACAATTTAACAAAATTAATTTAGGTAATTATTTTATTTATGCCACCATGTTTTTTCTTTTTAGTTCTTATTTTTTAAAAATCTTTTAGTTCTTTAATTTAGAACTAACTTTTTGCTTTTTTTTTTATTTACGTATTTTTAGATTTATTCAAGATTGTATTGCACCTCATAATTGATCAGTAAAATGTGTTAATCATTTGAGATAATTTTATATATTTTATGCATTTGAGTTAGATATGAGTTAGATAGGGATCGTAATATCATTCTCTCATAAAAGATGCAAAATCATATGTTTGAGAAGTTTATATCAACATTATATTGTAGGTACTTGCAAATGTAATATACAAAATTCCTCAATTCCTAGGCTTTATTATAGGAGCTGCCCACATCCATACGATATTTACTTTTTCTAGACTATGTGTAATATACAAAATTCCTCTATTCCTCAGTTGCTTATTTCATGCGAAAGGTAGCTTGATCGTATTTATATAATCTTTTTCCTTTTCAAAAATGCATGCAATGTCTTACAAGTTTAGGGCAAGAGTAGTTGTTAGAGACTAAAACCATCCTGAAAGGATTCAACGTAAAAATAAAAGTTGTGATTAAATGTCCGTCTCATTAGCTTTAGTGTTCTGGTGTGAGTTTTAGACCATATTTCCCATCAATTAGGCCATGCATGTTTTACTAAGCAGTGCCCCATCGCTATGTCGAGCTAAGATTTTCCTATAAGATCACTTTTTTCTATTAAATTGTTGCATCTTCCTTCTTACTTTCTATGTATTTTTATTTCAGAACGGTGGTGTTTGTGGCTTATTCTACCCTAAATTAACTGTATGGAAAGCTTATCCTGTCTTGTGGTTGTTTTTGTTTTGTCTTAATTTAGCTGGCATTTTCGCTTTTACTATTCTTGAGAATAACAAGAAAAGCATTTACTTGCTTCTGCTGGCGATGATGGGACGAAAAGATGTGGTCTATAATTAGTTAATTTTTAAAAATTTATGAATTGTTATTGGCTAATTGTTTGTTTTATTTAAGTTTGTTTTTTGTTGTATTGGAGGTTGTTTATAACAATGTGTTAGGTTGTTATTGTGTTTGGACGTTGAATAGGATTGCTTACAATTGTTATAATAGTATATTGGACTACCTTAAAAGTAGTTATTGAATTTATATCTTTATATTTTTAGGTTTCTATGTAATTTAATTTTGTTATTTAAGAAAATAAAAAAAAATTGATAAAACTGATCGATTGTATTTAGCTTTATTAATTTCAATTGTTATTTTATGAATCAATTGATTTAATTTTTTTATAAAATATGTTGATTAAATTAATTTTTAAATTTTTACAATTAAATTTATCGTTTGCTCTGCGTTATTTTTTCTTTTTCTTTTTTCTTTTTGATAAAAGAACCCCGTCCATGAGTGACGGAATGAAAACTTTTTTTAAATCTAATAAAAATATTGACTTCCTTTTTTTTTTTTTTTTTGAGTTTCTCAAACTTTTAAATTTGTTTATTAAGAATGCGATAATACGGAGCGTATAAACTTTATATATTTGAAGAAGATTCTTCATTTTGTATAAACAGAGGTGGTTCCCGCGAGGGAAACTCGGATCACTTCTTTTTCTTTCTCTTCGCTTCTTTTAATTTTTTTTTTTTTGTGAACTTTTTTCTCATTTATCAAAATCAAAGACTGCTACTGCAATATCTTTATCTTCTAAAACTCATACCAAAGAAAGAAGAAGAAAATTCTTCTTTCGTTTCCTTGTTTGGATTAATTGTAGAATAATAAGTGTTGGTTGAGTTGGGAGGGGGGAAATAGGAAGGAAGATGGAGGCAGCGATGGGACTGATGAGAAGAATGCCGCCTCGCCACTCGGAGACAACACTCTCCGCTCTTTTAAGCCTTTTGCCTCACCACTCCTCCGATCTCCTCTCTCAAGTCGACCTCCCTCTCCAGGTCTCTCTCTTTTCATTTCCTTTTTCTTTGCTTCTCTCTATTTCTGCATTTTTTGAGATTTCGCGCTTTAATGTTGCTGAAATCTGAGTACTTGCTAGGTTTTCTTTTTCTTTTTATGAAAATGACTTGATAATGTGTTTGGTTGATAAGGAAATGGAGTAAAATAAAAAAAAAAATCAGTATTTTAGGGTTCATTGACAGAGTTTTGTTTAAATCGATTGAGGAAAATGTAATGTCAAAAAATGATAATGAAACTTAAGATTTAAGCGAACGAGCATTTAAAGTTAGGTACCGTTTGGTTTTTTTTTTTTTTTTTTGGTGTGCATTGGAAGTCGATAAAAAAAGTAAAGATCTCGACTGGGAACAACAGCAATACTAACAATTCTTTAAGAAATAAAAGATTTAAACTTTTTTTTTGCAAATCAGAGTTCTTGTTTTTACTTTTATATATGGAGCTACAATGTTAGAATGTGTTTTGCTTAGGATTCAGTGAATTTAAGTATTAAAGGGAAAAGGAGCTGGGAAATATTGCTTGACGATTGTTTTTTGGTTAAAAAAAGCAAAATTGTCTGTTTTTTAAAGAAGTCCTTGAATTATGTCATAGGTGCAGCAATCTACGTTTTATGCTAGTTTCGAAACATTTGCTGTGGTTTCTAACTTTTGAACAGTACACTTGACCTTCTTTTTTTTTTTTTATTTCTTCATTTCTCAATGCTATGAAACAAATGTATTTACCTATTGCTGTCAAATGGTTCGTTAGAGCTCAGTTGAGAAGTACTTAATTTTTCCCTTATCCCACCTACTGAGAGGAACTGAATCACTTGATCATGTAATTGGGATTGGGATTTTGCTTCTTTGGGACCTTGATCGCATGCAACATTCTGATACTTGATTGATTGTCCTTCTCTTATTTCTCATTTTTCTTGCCAACCGCATGAACTTAATTGTTTTCCAGGAGATATTTTAGCTTGATAGTTTTGCATTATAATCTCATTGTAGCACCCTCGATTTATGAACATGAGAGAAAAGGTTATTCCTATTTGAACATTTATTCATTGTTCATAAAAATTACCTTGTTATAGATTCTTTCCTTTACTACAATTTTCTTCCTTTAAATCCATTGTTTGTTCAATCAATATCTCCTTCATTATTGATAACAACTCACTTGTCTATCTGCATCTGGAATACAAATAAATTAGATCTCCTTACAATTGGGTATTATGATGTGATGTAACGTGTAAGAGTAAAACTCTGTATTGATTGACCATTTGAGTCTTGAGTGCAAACATATTAGCAATAAAATTTTCACTTTGAGCTTTACCAATGGAGCTGGTAGCTTTCTGTTACACACTCTTCTCCAATCAACTAACTTGCTTTTTTTTTTTTATCTTATATAATGATCCATTTGCTGGGATTTTTCAAATTCCTTTGCTAGCATTTGAGTTTATGGTGTCCTCATGCCAACTTGTTACATACTATCTTACTTTGTGACCTATAATTTTTTATGGCCAGAGAAGTTTTCACATGATATGAAACATATTAAGATGAAATGAGTTCTGTTCCCTTAATTTGGATGGATAAGTTGATTAAATTTTTGTATTTTCCTGTGAAAATAGGTTTTATGTGATGTGGACAGTGGGAAGGAGTTCATTTTGTGTGAATACAACAGAGATGCTGATTCATATAGGTAGCTTTACGATTCTGATGAATTTATCTATATAGAAGTTATACCCTCTTATTTTGTAGTCTAAGCCCCCTTAAGCTGTTTTAATTTATTGCTTGTTTCGTGGGGCATTTTCCCTCAAAATATCCATAGAAAAACAGTTGTAAAGGTTTTATGATAGAAAAAGCTTGCACCTATAATCCAGAGCACTGCACTTGTCATCATGATGCCTTTTTTGAATAAACATTATAGAATGCAATAATTATGCGATGGTGGTCTCTCTCTCTCTTTGTGTGCATATATATTTGCATGTTCGTTAGCCATATGAAATAAATTTGTACATATGATGTGTTCCAACTTAACTACAAATACTAGCTCCAGAATCAGACATCTTTCAAAGTCAGTGCTCTCTCTGTTTGATCAGGTAGTGAACCATGTCAGTCACAAATCATTCTTACTTCAAGTGCTACCGTTTCAATTTCATGTCTTATAGGCTGCTTTAAGGGCTAAGGCCATATTTTGAGTTACATGTTGAGTTCCTTTTTACTTGCAGAATGGCATGTGTTCTATAAAAATCATATTTGTAAATAACCTGTAATTTGTGGCTCTGTTCTTTGCATTTGTACTGTTTGTAGATCACCTTGGTCAAATAAATACCATCCACCATTGGAAGATGCACCTTATCCATCTTCAGAGTTGAGGAAACTTGAAATTGAAGCTAATGATATCTTTGCAATCTATTGTGACCAGTGAGGTTCTTACCTCGTGCTACAGTTTGTTTATCTTATTTGCTTTTAATATGGGTTTGATTAAAATTGATTTATAATATCTTCTTGTTTTATCCTTTTCTTTTTATCTCTGGTTGGATAAGGGGGTGGGGCATCAATCAAATTGGATTTTTTATGCAAAGGTTTCTTCATTGTTTTTCATTTATTTATGTTTAACCAATAAAACAATAGGTATTATGAGGGTGGGATTTCATCAGTCTATATGTGGGAAGATGACAATGAAGGTTTTGTTGCCTGCTTTTTGATAAAGAAAGGTAAGCCGTTTAGTTTTAATCTAAATAAAACCAGTAACCCTGTGTGCTGTTACTTCTAATTTGCTGGCATTGCTTTTGGAGATAGATGGCTCAAAGACTGGGCACGGGCGAAGAGGTTATTTAGAGGAGGGAGCTTGGGATGCTATACATGTTATAGAGGTGAACTCAATGTCTTGATACAATTAAAGATAGAACTTCCATTCTTATCTCAAACCTTTCTGTTCTCTTCTCTTTTCTTTGGTCACTTTTGTTTATCCGTTTACCCATCTATTCCTATGTCGACATTTTGTTATGCATTTTCTCACTCGTGCTGCTTTTTAACCTTTTGTCTAGGTTGGACCAGAAGAGGAAGGAGCAACACGTTATTGCTTGACCAGTACAGTCATGCTGTCTTTGACTACAGATGATGAGTCATCAGGCACTTTCAGTTTGTCAGGATCAATCAGACGACAGGTAATTGGGGGTATTTTGTTTCAAAGTCAAGCGTTGAAGCTTTCCGTAGTGGAAAGCTAATAAACTGTTGGAGATTCGAGCTTTTTGTTCATTGAGAGTTGTTCATAGGTACTAATCTACCTTTTGATAATCCATTAGTGGTGTAAAAATGGAGACTACAATGTTATCCATTCATTGTGAAAACACTGGGGATAGGTCGTGGGATTTCTTGACCCCCAAGTGTCAATGAATGGATGACCTTGGACATCACCGGCAATGAGTTTCTGGATCATTTAGAAAAAAAAAGGTGCATAACTAGTGATAATCCTCTGAAATCCTGTACTTGTCCTGCATTTTTTTCTTACCCTAATTTAAGAGCTGTTGCTGTCCATACATGATTTACTGGTAGAGTGACATAACTGGAATTATAATTGAGAAGGCTATTTTTCCTTATTATTGTTGATGTTCTTTCAATAGTTGATTTTCACATGTGCTCCTTTTGTACTTGGTATCTTGATGTGCATAGATGATGTGTGGAGTAAAGGCAATGGCTTTACCACCTGTTCCACATACCCTACCCACTACCTAAAACCCAAGGAACAAGGCCTCTGTGGTATAAATAAGAGGAGAAAACTTCTGGAGAAATGTTAGACAAAACTTTGTTTAGGCATTGCATTTGTAAAGTTAAATATACTTGGTGCAATTTACTTGGGTCATTAATCTGATATTGTTAAAATTTATTTGTATAACTTTGATGCCAGAGTGGATCAAGGGCAAATAGAATATAAAGTTCCTCTTACCATCCTTAATGCTAGGACTTTATTTTAGTTTCCTCTTGCCCCCCAAAAATTAGATGTTGTCTTAAATAGGGGTGTAAATGATATATTAATGCTCGCAGACTACTCGAGTTCAACTGGGATAAAACTTGAATTCGGCTCGATCATTGTTGAGCTGAGCTCGAGCTCAAGTAACTTGACTTATCGAGCGAGTCGAGTTCGAGTATCTTAATGCCTGACTTGAATAACTTGTGAGCTTAATCGAGCTTTTATATTTTTGTGGGAAAAACTACGAAATAAAACTGTGTGGAAAACTAAGAGTAAAACTGAATGTATATTGAAAAATTGCTTATTCAAAATTATATAAACACCTTAGGTTTATATACAACTAACTAATGGGTAAACTAGGAAACTAAATCTTCTTAAAACTGATTCTATAATTAATGAATTATCTATCATAATTTTTTATCCTTAATTCTAGGAATACAAATACTTAATTTTGGAGATACAAATATAAATATACAGATTACAAGATTACAACTAGCTGTAAATAAATATTTTCTCACACTTCCCCTCAAACTGGCGAATCGGTGTTTGTCATTCCCAGCTTGAAAATAATTTCTTGAAATGTTGCATTGCTGAGAGCTTTAGTCAACACATTTGCAAGTTGACCCTTGGTTGATACATACGGTGTATAAATCAACCCACTGTCTAGTTTTTCCTTTATGAAATGCTGGACTACTTCAATATGTTTTGTTCTATTATGTCGCACAGGATTTTGTGCAAGATTTATTGCAGACTTGTTATCACAGTAGAGTCTCATTGGTCCATCCCACTTGATCTTCAAGTTTTCTAGGATAATCTTTAACTATAGTAGTTCACAAATTCCTTGAGCCATTGCTCTGAACTCTGCTTCAGCACTTGATTTTGTCACCACATTCTGTTTTTTACTCCTCTAAGTCACAAGATTACCACCAAGGAAAGTGCAGTAACTTGAGGTGGAGCTTTTATCAGTTACTTAACCTACATAATCCGCATTTGTATATGCATTTAAAACTAGCCTCAATTTTTTTTAAATAAGATACCTATCCCAGGATTAGCCTTCAAATAGTGCAATACATGGTAAATAGCTTGCGAGTGCACTTCTTTAGGACTATGCATAAATTGACTTATCACACTCACAACATATGCTATATTAGGTCTAGTATGTGAGAAATAAATGAGTGTTCCAACTAATCTCTGGTATGTCTCTCTATCTACAGTAGCATTTTCATTAGCTTCTCCAAGTTTATGATTAGGATCTATAGGGGTATTTGCAGGTTTACACGTAAACTTCCTAGTTTCCTTCAAAAGATTTATCACATATTTTTGTTGTGAGATGAAAATATCATGTGGTGAGTAAGCTACTTCAATTCCTAGGAAGTATTTTAATCTCTCTAGTTCTTTTATCTCCAAATTTTTTAGCCAGACACTGTTTTAGAGATTTTTTTTCTTTTTCATCATCTCTAGTTACAATTATATCATCAACATACACTAATAGAACTGTGAATCTCTTTGAATCAGAATGTTTAATAAACAATGTGTGATCTCCTTAACTCTGCTTATATCCCATTGCTAGCATCACTTTGGCAAATCTCCCAAACCAAGCCTTAGGAGATTGTTTAAGGTCATATAAGCAATTTGTATACTTTGTTTGCTTCTAGATGACCTCCAAATCCCAATGGAACCTTCATAGATATTTTTTCTTCCAAATCACAATGTAGAAAAGCATTTTTCACGTCAAATTGTTAAAGCTACCAATTGTGATTTGTAGCCAATGATAACAAAATACCAATTGTATTCATCTTGGCAACTGGAGCAAAAGTTTTCTGATAATCCACTTCATAAGTTTGAGTGTAGCCCTTAGCCACCAATCTGGCTTTGTACCTTTCAACAATACTATCCGCCTTGTATTTTACAATGAAAACCCATTTATACCCAATTGGATTTTTTCCTTTAGACAACTCTATTAGTTCCCATGTCTTATTTTTCTCTAAGGCCTTCATTTTTATTTTCATGGCTTGCGTTCATTTCTCACTAGATAATGCTTCGGATAATGTAGTTGGAATAGAAATAGTGTTTAGGCTCACAAGGGAATTTTTGTGGGATGGTGAGAATTTTTCAAATAACACAAAATTAGAGATTAGGTATAATGGATGCTTAGTACATTCTCTGGTTCCTTTCCTAATGACAATAGGCAGATCATAATCACTAGTTATAGTTTTGGGAGATTTATGCTCATTTTGAGAAACAGAGTCAAAGATTGTAGTTACCTCATTTCCAGAGTTAGGATCAGGTTCTTGGACTTGCACTGGTTCAAGATTTGAAACTTTTTTTCTTGAATACACCTGTAATTCCTTCATAGAATAAAGATTAATATTATCCTTTGTCACATCTTCTGTGTTTGGAATGGGTTCAAACTCAAATTCAGTGTTTGACTTGGATTTATAAGAAACAGGTTTAGACTCAAAAGAATTAATGGGTGAATATGTTGGAAAGGAGGACAAGTCAAGGAAATAGAAGTCTTTATCCTTATCTTCCATGAATGAAGTCTCCCTCTAAAGATAAGGTTGAGTAAAAAATGATTTACTTTCATCAAAAGTGACATTTATAGGCACATAAAATTTTTTGGTAGGAGGATGATAACACTTATACCCTTTATGAGTTGATGAATACCCCACAAAAATGCATTTAATTGCTTTAGGATCCAACTTCCCCCTATTATGAATTTGAACATGAACAAATGTATAACCAAATATTTTAGGTGTGAGGTTGTTTGTGGTATTAAAGTTGGGATAGAATTGTGAAAGTAGTTCCATAGGAGTTTTAAATCTCCAAACCTTTGAAGGTAACCTATTTATAATGTGTATGGCAATGAGAACAGTTTCCCCTTAGGAGGATTTTGGTATGTTTGCTTGAAAAAGTAAAGCTCGAGTTGTGGCTAGTAAATTGTTGTTTTTCCTCTCTGCCATTCTGTTTTGCTATGGAGTATTAACACAAGATGATTCATAAATAATCCCTTTCTTTTGGAATTAGGTAGATAAACTCTAGTTGAAATAGTCTCTTGCATTATCGGATCTAAATATCTTGATTTTCACTCCAAATTGGTTTTGGATCATGTTTTGGAAGCTTAAAAACATATTATTTATATTTGATTTGGATTTAAGTAAAAATATCCAAGAGACCTTCGTACAATCATCTATGAAAGAAACAAACCATCTTGCACAAAAAATGTTAAGAATTGTAGAGGGACCCCATATGTTACTATGAATCAAGTAAAAAGGAGTAGAACTTCTTTTATTGCTAACTAGAAAAGACACATGTCTATGCTTTAATCCATGAGAACCAAAAGTTTTACCTGAGCTAGAGACCTTACCCAAGGAAAATACCCCAGTAGGCTTTTCAAGGGTTTTCAATAGGCTTTTCAGCTTCTCAATCTCTTTTTTGTCCAATTCTATTTCTTTTCGAGACATATGGAGTACTCTGGTGATTTTTTCAGTGGACACTTCATTAAATTGGGTGATAGTGATATCTTTCTTTGAACTAAAACAAGTCTTAAGTTATAACAAAAAATGATTCTTAGCAATGAAGGCTAAAGAAAGGAAAAATAAAATGTCTATGAAGACCTTAATGGGGTTTGGCAATGAAGGCCTAAAATAGAAGTTAGCAATGAAGGTTGAAAATTTTGCTTCTAGAGAAGAGCCTAAAGCTTTGATACAATGTGAGAAAAACTAAGAAATAAAACTGTGTAAAAAACTAAAAGTAAAATTGAATGTATATTAAAAATCTGCTCATTCAAAATTATACAAGCACTTTAGGTTTATATACAACTAACTAGTGGGTAAAATAAGTAACTAAATTTTCTTAACACTGACCTTATAATTGAGGGATTGTCTATTATAATTTTTTGTTCTTAATTTTAGGGATATAAATATTTAATTTTAGAGATACAAATATAAATATACAGATTACACGATTATAATAAGCTATAAATAAATATTTTCCCACAATTTTAATATATTTTTATTATTTTAATTAATAATTTACTATCTTACCCTTAATATACTTAACCTAAAAAACCTTAATCTTTTCCATTTTATTCTTTCTCTTTTTCTCCCCGGCTCCCTCATTCCACCAAAAAACCCATCTATGGCGTCTCTTCCTCTCACTCGCTCCTAATTCTTTTTGATGCAGATGTAGTAGCTAGCTAACCATCCTTTCGATGCCGCCTTAGTCTTTCTTGCTCCCCTGATCCTAGGCCAACAATGCCTCCTTTCCTCTCACTCTCCCCTAATCATTTTTGGGTTAGTCCCTCTCACTCCTAGATCATTTCTGGTAATATTTTAGTATTTTGGATGCTTCTTATGTTTCTGAATCGGTCACTTTGACAGTGAATTTTGGGAAATTTATGATTTGGTGGTGTAAGGAATTTGTGATCCAATGGGTTTGTGTTTTTCTTTGATTGTCTTTAGGGTCGATATTCTATCTATTTCTTAGATGTAATGTGATTGAATTTCTATGCTTTATCTATTCTAACTTTAGTTTGTATCATGCTCTAATACCATATGTTGGTTAAATGTTTGGTGGACGCCATTAGCTACGGTTGTCTTCTGTTGTAAATGTCTATTTCATATTAATAAAAAAAAAAATCTTGAATTTGTGTTGCCTTATTTGGTTTGTGCAATGGGATTTTGAGCAAGAGTTCTATCCTGAAATAAAATAACAAAAGCATGATGAAAATTAGTATAAAAAAAGCTCCAAGATTTCCATCTCCTGAAAATTGAAAAGCTATAAAAAAAATGCCTGGGGAAGTGCTTTTTATTCTCCATTTATTCTTTTTTCTTTATAATCACAATTTATTTCATTTCTCAATAGAAATTCTAAAAACACACTTTCAATATACAATATATTTATAAAAAATTTCAATTCAAGTTTGAGCATAAATAATCGAGCTTGAAATCGAGTTGAAAATTGAGCTCATTTATTACATGGTAAATGAATTTAATCGAGTGAGTTTGAGTAGCTTAATTTTTATTTTGAGTCAAGCTTGAGCTAAAAAAATAAAACTCGATCGAGTTCAAGTTGAGTTTCGAGTTTCAAATTTAAAGTTAAGCTCAAGGCTTTCATTGTATTAGTTCGAACTCGATCAATTATACCTCTAGTCTTAAAGCATGAGTGTCTAATTTTGATGATGACATGACAATATTTATGTCATGAACTGAGTATAGATTCTTGTTGAATTAATGTATTTACAGTTAGCTTAATGCATATTGACCATCCTTTGTGTGTTTATGCCCCTGTTCACTTTAACCTTTCTTTGTCCATAGATGAATATGAACCTTGCAGTTGCTGATGGTCATCTTTGTAACATGGGAAAGATGATAGAAGAAATGGAGGGTAAGCTAAGGAACTCGTTGGATCAGGTATGTTGACTACTTTCTTTATTTCAATTGCCTCTGCATGTTGCGATATTGATTATTTTGTGGTTTGGTACGACAAGTCAGAATATCTACCGATTTTGCAGGTCTACTTTGGAAAGACGAGAGAGATGGTTTGCACTTTACGGCCGCCTTCTGAAGTGGCACAGATGAGATTGCCTGACAGTTGATCTGGCTTTTATGACATGTGAAATTGAAGATTGTGTCATATTTGCAGTACTATAGTATCTAGTAAGCTGTGTATGACTTATTCGGATCCAGACAAATGATAACTGTATGGTTGACATATTTCCTGTGTGCTGTTACAACATGAAATTTCTGATGAATTCGCTTGATAATATTTCCTTCAAATTATCTTTGACATCTTCATGCTTAAAACGATTTGACATGACAGGAAGTCGGCTCGTCAAACTCAGTTTTGAACATGTATCAATTTGGGATTGTGGTGTTTGGATTCGCCTATCACTTAGCAAGAAAAATATTTCATGATATTCTGGTCCTTGATTGCGAGACAATCTTTGCCAATACACTGACCCAGACTGGTAGTAATCACAATCCAAGAAAGATTCGGTTAGTTGTTACTTCTTAAAGTTTGCATTGGGTTGTTACAACATTTTGATGGTCACATTGTCAAAACTCAAAAGCAGAGAGCGACATGTGCCTGAAGGGTGCCGATGTTGATGGACGTGTGGTGTCAACAGGCCAATTTTGGAACAAGTACATGGAGGAAAAGAGCTTTTGACACCCTAATTCTTGCAATGGTAAGTAGTCAATTTTGAGCATATGATTCGATAAATGCTCGAATATGACTAACCAATTATTAAACTGAATTCAAGCTTTAGTTATTTGAGCATGGAATCAAACCAAATTCAAGTACTTTAATTCTTAATTCCTATGCTCAAAAGCATAACAAAACTTTGTTTTTTTATTAATATGTATATATAAATAAATGATGAAATCGCAATACTTAGATCATATTTTCAATTTTATCAAATCTAATTGAGTGGAACTTGAATAAAATACAAATCAAGCTCAAGCATGAGGATGAAATATGGAACTCAATGAAACTTGAGTTAAGCTGAAACCTCAAGTTTTAAAATTGACTCAGATTACACCGGATTACAAATAAACTCAATCGAGCTTATTTTCTTAAGCTCGAATCTAACAACAGATCAACTCAAGCTCGATTACACCTCTACTAGTAAATTAACTACTACCTGCTTCACATCTTATTCTGCATATATGCATCCTTTTGGGTAACATTGGATAAATAAAAGCTCGTACTAGAAAAACAATCCTTCAAGTTGAGGATTTGATCCGATGATAAATGCATGTATATGCATGTATCTTGAGCTCAAAGTGTTGGGCTCAAGATTGGAGCCCTTTCCCCACCCCAAAATCTTGATCCAGAAAAGGAAAAAAATTCCTCTCTAATTCAAGTTCAAAAGCTACAAGATGTAAGACCATAAATAAGAAGCATTTTAAACTGCAATACTGGCAGATTACAATTTCACTAGCTGATATTTTATAGAGAATTATAAATTTCACAATCTAACAATCTCATAATGACCAGAGGTTTCCACTAAAAAAGGAGGCTCAACAAGTAAGAAAGATTCATAATATTTGCATGTAAGAAAAACTCAATTTAGATATGACTGTGGGCCAAAATATGGCTTTACTTTTTTTAAATTCAGGTTTGGCACCAGATGACGAGGCATCTTTCTTCAAAGGTGGAATTTCTTCAAATTTTCCTCTTCCGTATCACTATCATCATCTGCACGGGGAAAGCATTGAGATTCGTAAAATTAATATACAAATTAGCTCTTTTGAAACATACTTCAAATCAACATCCACATAGCAAATTGGCACACTCTAGTTGATGTTGGATGGATTATGAAACTTACCATCCTCACCTTCATCCGCTCCAAAGCCTTCATCACCACCCATGTTCAGCTTCTGTAACAAAAAGGAAAAAGAAGCAATGGTGTCAAGTCCTATTTAGAGACACTCTCAAATCATTAAATATTAGGTGATGACACGGCTACTCACAGAAAAGTCAAAGTCACCAAAGTCCATATCGGGTCCAGCTGGCAACAAAAATCCCCAGCCAGTCAAACTAAAAAATAAAACCCTACACCATGAAAATATAGCAGTGAAAAAACCATATAAGACATTGAGGAACTACGTCTTACACTTATTGTCCTGATCCTCATCTTCATCAACCCATCTATCCCAATCAGCTTTTAAAAACACAGGAGGTTTCCCTTCCTGTTTCAGCAATCTGCCCCACCACTTGTTCTAAGCCTTTTTCACAAGGTAAGAGATATTTCTCTTCCTAACACTAGCCTTGCTTTCCTGCAAGCATCATAATGACACATATTACCCTATAGGTAGTATGTATTAAAGGTTAATCATAAGAATTGAGATTTTAGCTGTCGACCTACATCAACATCAACTTTGTCATGCAGATCCATGTCAACTTCATTAGGAATCTTGTCTACTCCACTAGTGGCAGAGAAGAAAAATTTTCCTTCACGCTCCAGTTTAAGCTCCGCATCCTGTGCATCAGGAAGCTCAATAGTTATGAAGACTACATCTGACCTCTGGGCCCATTTCACAATAGGATGTCGGCTGCAATAAAAAATTTCCAAATGGAAACTTAAAAACAAGTTGAAAACATAAACACTCTAATCAATCTTTCTAAGAATATAGTTTGTCTTAAAACAATTAACTCAATCCATGAAGCAAATCTTAAATGATTGATGTATTTCCATCATAGTCCAGAACCATCAACATCATTGTTCCAAGATGATGTATTAACAGACAACCTAATTCAATAAAGACCACTGAATAGACAACTTACTTCTAACTCAAAATTTACAGAACTATTTTGTTGAAAAAAAATGTCCACATTGGTCTGGCAGAAACATGAAAATTTACATTATAGATGTTTAATAAAAGTTGATAATTTAAGAAACAGCATGAGGCAATATAACTGATGTAAAAGATAGTAAAAAAACCAGTGGGTAGACACCAAGATGGGATCATGATCTGATAGCAATACAATGAATCCATCGTAGCAACATCCAAAATTCTAGAGATGTGACAGGTCTATACACATGCTCACACAATTTAAACATGTTCAACCCTCATAAATTTCGTAAAGGATAGCATAAAAATTATGCAAATCATATCAATTATCTATGTACAAGTTTCTTGATTGAGATGATAGTATCATCGAACTTGTTTTAGATTTAATAAGTAAAACTCTCTTATAAGAGCCGGAAGAGGTGGGCAATCAAGGTCAACATAATTGTCATCCTTGTATCAAAAAACACTAAATCGGAAGAAGGAAGGGAATTTCTTTAAACTTCCAACAAACAGCCACGGCCATCCCAATATCTCACTCATTCAGCAGATAGAACATTTCTCACATTCCATTATTCCAGAACCCTAAAGACTCTAAAACAAGGATCATCTGACATCAACATCCCCTAACCAAGAGGCAGAAACGAGGCTATAATGGAACAAATTTTCAACTCTGAACACCACAAACACCTCATAAACAGTGGATATGAGAATGAGTATAAATGTACTATTTCAGCCATATCAAACAAAAGGGTTGCTTATTCTCATAAAGTTTTAGCCTTTTATTTGCAAGTTGCAACATTAAATAGCAATAGAATTATTGTAGAGGTCAAGTTTTCAATTTTACCAGCTAGCTCATAATATCATGAGGTAAAAAAAAGTAATTAGCGAAAAATAACTTATTGGAGAGTTGCCCAAAGAGAAACCCTTCAAAAATCATACTTTTATTTGCACTGCAAACCAAACCCTCTTCTTGTTTTTTTTTTCTTATCCACTTCTTTTAACAAATTAACAGAGCAAAATCATCCTGTCATCTATCCCTCCCACAACATAAAAGAAAAAGCATTATTAAAAAAACTAAGCAAAACAGTAAATGTCTAAGCCCACTTTTTGCAGCAGAATTAAAATGACAAAAAACCAGAGAATCCCCCTCCTTGCCCCAAAAAAACTCAGAACAGTTATAGCTCTAGTTATAGCTTTTTTTTAAAACCAAAATAAAACAAAAAGGTAAACAAATTATAGTAGCAATGCATGTTCATGTTTAATATGTTTTTGTTTTATTTTCCTCCACGTTCTAAGCAACCTAACAGAAAACAAAAAATTGTTGTATAATGAAAAATGAGAACAAAAATTTCAGAAAAAAAAGGGGTAAAGAGAAAAACCTCATTGTTGGCGATTCTTAGCGTACTTTATTGGTTTGCTTCACTCAAAAGAATTTACGAGCGTGTTGGAGAGTGTAGACCGTAAAAACCATACGGAGGGTTGGATTTCATTTATAGGGTCCTTTCGGGGGCGATCGAGAATTTTTTTGCGAGTACGATGGAATAGATTGTGTTTGAGTTAATCTAATATTAAATTTAAATTTAAGTTTGATTTAAAATTTAAAATTTAAAATTTAGTTAGAATTTAATCAAATTTTATTTCTTCAACTCAAATTTAATTTGAGATAAAAATTAAATTATTCAAACTCATTCGATTAATATGTAAAAATAAAATTAATTTTTATATTTGATTAAAGTTTAATTATTTGTGTTTAAATTTGAACTCAAAATTGATATATTTTATCAATTAAAATAATTAAAATGATTAAAATATAAAAATTTGATTAAATTTACGAATTACTTGAATCGAGTATAAAAATATTTAAATTTGACTCAATCGATATATTGAACTATTCGAACTCAAGCTCAACTTGATAATAATCGAATTTAATTCAAAATTTATTTGAATTAAATCTGAATAATTAATGAATACTAATGTATAATTTACACCATTGTGTAGGAGGCACATATAATTTTTAGACCTAAACATTTAATTTAATAAATATTTTTTTCAAACTTCAAGATGAAATTTCTACCCTCCATTCTGTTAATAATTTATTAGGAATTAAACTTTAATTATTAGCACAAACGAAACTATTATTTTCATCTTCTCAAGTTTTTTTTTTGAAACCTAATTATTATAAATTAGGATAGGACTTAACTTCTTTTGATCAAAATTCTAGCTTTAATTTTTTGCTAATAATCAAATTTCAATCTTTAGCAATTTTAAATATAAAAAAATTTATAAATGATTGTTAACAAAGTTAAGAGTGATTTATTATAACTTATCAATGATTTAGTATTTAAAATATCGTTGATTTATTATTAATTTATAAATAATTTACAATTAAGTTATCAATAGGTATTAAGTTATTAATAATTTATTATAAAATTATAACTATTTTACTACTAATTTATTAATAATTTACTATAAAATTATCAATAATTAATTAATTTATTATTAAATTATCATTAATTTATAATTAAATAATTAATGATTTATTATTATGTTATTCAAAATTTCTTATTAAATTATCAATGATTTATTATTAAATTATTAATGATATATTATTATGTTATTATATATTTACTACTATATTACCATTGATTTACTATTTAGTTTTCGATTATTTATTATAAAATTATCACAGATTTATTACTAAATTATCCGTAATTCACTACTAAGTTATCATTGATTTATATTAAATTATCTATAATTTATTATTAAGTTATTGATAATTTACTACCAATTTATATTGATTTACTTTTAAATTTTCAATGATTAATTACTAGATAATCATTGATTTATTATTAAATTATTTATAATTTACTACTAAGTTTATTAATTAATTACTATTTAATTAAAACTAAATTATTATTAAGTTATCACTAATTTTCTAATAAATTATTATTGATTTCTTGTTAAGTTATCAATAATTAATTGTTATCACTTATTTTTTATTAAGCTATCCTTAATTTAT